TGGGGGGAGCAGATGGGGGACTATATTTTATAAGAGAATTTGTGAATGATAATCAATATTTTTCACAAGAAATCATTATTTATTTATTTACAAGAGAGGGGGGGGGGAGTAAGTTTAACGGAAAAGGGGGTGCAGGGTTGGGGAACATATGGGGAAGGGCTGGGGAGCAGGGTTTTGGCTTATTATTTCAACTTAAAGGGACTGTATGCGTAATTTGAAATGACTCTCTATTCAAACAGAGGCATGTCGGATTCTTAATGGTGTCTTCATTGAGGAAGAATTGTCCTCTTTTTTGGAAAAACCACAATTAAAGAAATGCAATTTTAAAGTAAATAAATACTGATATATCATTCTTCTTTGACCCAACAAAGGGTTTAAAGGCACCGTTGTGGTTCGAACATGCACTCTATAAACTAATGGTCATTTGAAAATACAATTACAGTCCCTTTAATATCTTTTTTTGCATCATTAATTCTATTTTCCTGCGAGTCCAAGTAAACCCATTCCTAGAGAAACCAAAAGAGAACTAATTATGAAAAGAGGTTTTCTTGGAGCTTTCCTGAAATAATTTACTTTATAGAAATATGGTTTGACAATAGGTAGTGCTACTCTCACGCAAATAATCGAGCAATAAAAGAAAGAAAAGAAAGAAAAGAAAGAAAAGAAAGAAAAGAAAGAAAAAAGAAAGAAAAGAAAAGAAAAGAAGAAAAAAGAAAAGAAAGAAAAGAAAAGAAAAGAAGAGAAAAGAAAAGAAAAGAAGAGAAAAAAAGAAAAGAAGAGAAAAGAAAGAAAAGAAAAGAAAAGAGCTGACTTGATATTTTCGGAACATTTTTGTCTCTCATTGTATATTCTCAAGGTTTCTCAGATAAAAATTGCATTTTTACCAAAAATTAAGATTTTGATTAGATCTGAAATGAAATAATGTGAAAATTACTTTATAAGGTAAGATCCAAAGAAGCAAGCTAGTAAGCGAACTAGACCGTAGAGGATAGTTGCAGTGTACTTGTCTATAGAGGATCCAGCTGATTCCATTATAGATACAGCGTAGAACGATATCGTCGCCAAACCTGAAAACATAAAAATGATTTTACAAAAATATTCAAATAATTTTTCAAGTCTTAAAGGGACTGTCGACGTATTTTTAAGTAAACCTCCATTCATAACATTTATTTTTAACAAAATCTATCAAATTCATAACGATTTCCTATAAACCTTTTTCTGACGAAGGATGAATATATAAAATATTCTTATTTTTCTCTCTTAAAACAGGCTTTAAGAGAATTTTTCACCTTTATTCTCACGATTATAGCTTTTTAATAAATAGCAAGGAGTTGAGTCTTTTCCACAAACTCTGATTTTCTAATCTCTATATCTTACAGCCCAACGTTTTATGACCTTAAATGTTTCAAACTATAATGAGTTCTGTTAGATGAAATTATCAAGGTTTGAAATATCAAAGATTTACACACCATCAGTTTGCAAAGATATAGGGATTAGAACATTTGAGTTTGTGGCAAAGACTCCATTACGTTCGCGGAATTTTCTGTTTACATTGTTGGATTAAAAAAAAATTGTAAATATCGACAGATTCAGCCGTTTATTGGATACAAACACCAAACAAATCTAAATTTATATCTTTAGAAGGATGTCTCCCTCCTCCCTTGATCTACTTCTGAACCCACTGATCTTTATAAAGATGAATGTTAAGGTTGGATCCACCTTGGCTAATCTCATAATGGTTTCAACTTTGTCCATTTTACAAACTTTTCAGATAAATGTAAACAGAAACTGGTTGGAATTGAACCCAGTAAAAGTTGGTAATTAAATATAAACAATAACTGGAGGGAATTAAAGTGAAATTGAGAAAGTAATTGGCCTGGAGTTAAAGTAATGTTTGTTAAAGGGACTCGAGTCCTGATTTCAAGAGACCCTCCATAAATATATATAAAGGGACTCTAGTCCTGATTTCAAGAGACCCCCATTATATATATATAAAGGGATTCTAGTCCTAATTTCAAGAGACCCCCATTATATATATATAAAGGGACTCTAGTCCTAATTTCAAGGGACCCCCATTATATATATTTAAAGGGACTCTAGTCCTAATTTCAAGAGACCCCCATTATATATATAAAGGGACTCTAGTCCTAATTTCAAGAGACCCCCATTATATATATTTAAAGGGACTCTAGTCCTAATTTCAAGAGACCCCCATTATATATATATATAAAGGGACTCTAGTCCTGATTTCAAGAGACCCCCATTATATATATATAAAGGGACTCTAGTCCTAATTTCAAGAGACCCCCATTATATATATATAAAGGGACTGTAGTCCTAATTTCAAGGGACCCCCATTATATAAAAATAAAGGGACTCTAGTCCTAATTTCAAGAGACCCCCATTATATATATATAAAGGGACTCTAGTCCGATTCAAAACGATAGATCGAAGCCTTTATCTGATCAAGGATAAATAAGAAATACTAGTTTTTCTTTCTAAAAATAGATTATCACTAATTGCGGTCTACATGTTATAGTGGCTTGCAGATTTATGCTCAGATACAAATTAGGAAATTGTCAGATTTAGACCATTTTAAATATAGAAAAACGACGACACAATCTTTTTGTTATTTAGATAAAATTATTATTATTATTTATTTTTAATGCTAAAACACAAATTTAATTTTACATTTGCAGAGTCTCTTGAAATTACAACTACAGTCCATTTATGATAAATAAAAACAATCTTTTTAAAAGGAGTAGTAGTAGGAGTAGGAGTAGGAGTAGGAGTAGGAGTAGTAGTAGGAGTAGGAGTAGGAGTAGTAGTAGGAGTAGTAGTAGTAGTAGGAGTAGGAGTAGGAGTAGTAGTAGGAGTAGGAGTAGAAGTAAGATTAGGAGAAGGAGAAGGAAAACAATAATATGCTTGAACACAGTTGTGTAAAAATAAAATAAATTTTGTTTAGTTCTTGAGNGTAGGAGTAGGAGTAGGAGTAGGAGTAGGAGTAAGAGTAGGAGTAGGAGTAGGAGAAGGAGTAGGAGTAGGAGTATGAGTAGGAGTAGGAGTATGAGTAGGAGTAGGAGGTTTTTTGTTTATTTTTTTAGATACAGTCGTCGTATATTATATTAACACAATTAAGACGACTTTCTACCAAGCATTCAAACAATTCGGAGCTTTGAATACACATAAAAAAAACAAAGAGAAGCTTTCAATTAACAGATTAATTTATTGTTTACTTGTAAACTTTTAATCTGAAAAAATCTTTTAAAAAATCCAAACTTGAATAGAAAAGTCGTCTTTATTGTATTGATGGAAACGCCGATCACTATAGTTAAATATTTTGTAAATTGATAACGCTTATTATTTTTTTAACAATAAAAACAATGAATAACGGTGAAAATTAGTCTACGCCGTATATAAAAGAAGAACTGAAAGGTTCGAGTTAAACATTAAAAATTGAAATATGTTGCTCAGAAATATTAATGTTTTTTTTAAGCGCATCAATTAACTATTTTAAAATAAATGATTTAAGTTATTCCACAATTTAGAACGTTTAAACTCATTTTATTTTGAGAATTGTATCCTTTATAAGGATTTATATAAGCTTGGAGCAAACCCCATAAACGTGTTGACTTGGCAACCATGTTTAAATTGAACTGTAATCCATGGGAAACTAGAATAGGATTGTTTAATTTTATGGAACCAATCTGAATACTGGAACAATTAAAACAATTTCAAATTTGATTTATCGGGTTGGCATGTTGCATTAAACATTATACAAAATCTATTATACATTGTACTTACAGGGCATGTAAAACTAACAACAACGAATTGTTTTCGTATTTTGATCTCTCATTTAGAATTCGTTTTTTTTTCTTAAAATATTTTTTTTTTTATTTTAAAATAGAAAATACGGAAAGCCAAACATTCAATGTGTGGAAATGGAGTCTAAAGTAAAGACTAATTGTATCTTTAACCAAATCTGGGAACTCTTTTGGATATATCGAGATTAATGCTTGACCTAGATCTTTTGATAATCTGCAGATTAATGTAATCTTTATTTGATATCCCGCATGGTAAACATACCCTGTGTAGAGGAATAATGAAGAGATTAAGCATTAATCCCCAAATTTAAAGTGCCCTCTGCAGTGGATATTGAGATCGGGTTTTTAATTATCCAACACAAAAGTTCCCAGCTCAGAGCTGGGAACTTTTGAATGGTGGATATCGTGATTAATGCTTGATCTTCTCTTTTTCTTAATCTGCAGATTAAATAATGCTTGTTCTTCTCTTGTTATTAATCTGTTGAATAATTAACCGATCGGCCGGGATTAAGGATATCCCATTCTAAAGTTCTATGCTTTACCATCCATTTACTCAACTTTCAAATTTTTCTTTGCAAGTTATCAAAAAAATGTTCTTTGTTTCTTTATCGGACCCCCCCCCCCCTTAAAGATGTACGGGGTCGAGCGCATACAACGTTGTATAATAAGATTAGTTACTCGTTATACGGAAAATGTCGTCTCTTATAAGATAGATAAAAACCTAATTTTAAGTCACTGATTATGGAGGCGAGGTTTTTATCTTTCTATCTCAAGACGACATTTTCCGCACATTGGAGCGCATCAAGATCGTAACCTAACTTATTAGACGATTTTGCGCGCGCATCACTAGACATTAAAACAAGAAAATAGTATATGTAAGAAACTTTTTTCATTGGTTTATCGTAGTTTGTAAATAGTTTAAATTATATTTGTACAATTGTTTACATAATTTGTACAATTGTAAATTCCTTGCGCCATTGCAGTTTGTTTGTAGTAAATGAAAATATGTTTTGTATGAAGAAAATGAAGAATCGATAAAACGTAATACATCATAATTATCTTCAAATATAAACTATTTATTTATAAACTTCACAGTAACGATCAAACTAATTGCGAATAATCAGTACTAAACACAGGTTTAAAAAACTGGTGGTTTTAAAATGACTTAGTGAACTTTTGTTTCAAAATAATTAGAATAATAACTATTTATAACACTGTTTTTTTGGTTTGCAGTCTTAAAAAGGTTCTCGTCTTTTTAGATTATATTTTGTCCCTCGCTAAAGCTCGGGACAAAATTAAATCTGAAAAAGCTTGAAACTTCTCAATAAAGAGAAAATTTCTGTCCAAAAACTTTATAGCACGTCGTGCCAAAATAAAAGTGTGATAGGTAATTTTATGAAACGTTTGTGTACTTGTCTTATTTCAATGGCTATTTCTATAGATCAAATAAGCTTTGAATTACAAAGCAGAAGTAAAAAAATAAAGTTAATTGCAATTTTATTTTCATTTCAATTGAAAAAACTATTTTGGAAACATCCTAGCACACGTGCTATAATGTACAGCTATTTTAACTTTATAGCCCAATAATTACTCTATAGCATGTTAATTATGAAATTCACGATGAAGTGAGGAAGAATGATAAAGTACACATTAGTTTCATTAACTGTTATTATAAACTCTACTTTTTTAACCTTGTTATTTAGACATGCAGCATCTTTTATCTTTATCTTTTTATCACCATTTTTATTTTCAACAGTGCAGAGTCTGAATATTTTCTGCAACTGAAATGGACACATTGAAGTCTAGAAAACTGTGAACCTAAGATTTTTTGGATTGTAGATTTCCAGTAACCTGTAAACTGTTGAAGAAACATGATAATAATAATAATACGTAAACCTGCTAACCTGTAAACTGTTGAAGAAACATGATAATAATAATTATAAGTAAACCTGCTAACCTGTAAACTGTTGAAGAAACATGATAATAATAATAATACGTAAACCTGCTAACCTGTAAACTGTTGAAGAAACATGATAATAATAATTATAAGTAAACCTGCTAACCTGTAAACTGTTGAAGAAACATGACAATAATAATAATACGTAAACCTGCTAACCTGTAGACTGTTGAAGAAACATGATAATAATAATAATAATACGTAAACCTGCTAACCTGTAAACGGTTGAAGAAACATGATAATAATAATAATAATACGTAAACCTGCTAACCTGTAAACTGTTGAAGAAACATGATAATAATAATTATAAGTAAACCTGCTTACCTGTAAACTGTTGAAGAAACATGATAATAATAATAATACGTAAACCTGCTAACCTGTAAACTGTTGAAGAAACATGATAATAATAATAATACGTAAACCTGCTAACCTGTAAACTGTTGAAGAAACATGATAATAATAATTATAAGTAAAGGTTTCCAAACATCAGGTCGAATCAGGTTTAACAACAACGACATCAAATCTCTGAAATATCAATGGTGCAGGATGAAATAAACCATAATCTAGGGTGTCCCGATAAACACGGGAATTTAGGGAAGAATTCAATATTTTTGTTAAGAATTAGCATAGTAATGTCAATATTTTAAAAGTAATAACATAATTCAGATTGCTAGTGTAATGTGAAGGCTTGTAATGTCTCTGCAAGACAATGAAGACTTGTCCAGTGTACTTTATCTGTGTTCTGGAATTTTTTAGTTTAACAGAGTACAACTGTCTGCAATCAAAACAGATGCAAATAAATTCCAAACTCTACAGTTTTACTAAATTAAATTAAAAACCATTTAAAAAGATTATCTCGAATTATCACTCAATTCCCCTATTTAGTGGGACTCGCTGTAATATTAGGTTCGTGTATTTGTATTTAATACTTCTATTCCTTGACAGGAAAAATAATCAGCAAAAATCTGAACAATGAAGCAGAAGAACACTTTAAAAAGTTGTTGACATCTTTGGAGAACTTAGAGCCAATGCATTAGAAAAATACAGAAAGGTAGGTTTATTGTATGCAACAATTTACATTTAATCCAGTTAATTTAAAAACTTTGAAATCCATGTTAAAACCATCTATTTACAAAAATTAGAATCAATAAATATTTGATCTAACGTAACTCATCGTTTAAGATATTGAATGTCTGCGACATTAGGTTGCAAAGATAAAGGGATTAGAAAATCAGAATTTGTAGCAAAGTCTCAATTCCTTTCAATTGATTCAAATTTTCTGAGAGTGAATGATACATTTAGGTATTGTTCTATGTTTATATAGTATACATATCACGCTATATATTGTACATATATATATCTAGATTGTATAATATCATCATCATTTTCATAATCGGTCTTCAAATCAAATCTAATGATAAAGGATGAACAAAACAAATTTGCAAGAAAAGGATTATTTACTACAGTGTATTAATCATCATAATAAATATAAGAAAATAGTCGCAAAGGATTTGATTTCTCTGCATTGCACATACCCGAATCTAATACCTGTACCTTTGCCATCTGATAGTGCAAACATTTAATATTTCTAACTATTTATTCTGCTAGATCAAATATTCAGAATTTGTATCTATAATTTTATTAGATGAAAAAGTTAAAGTTTGAAATATAAACCATTATGTTTCAAAGCTATATAAAGGAATTGAGTTCCTACCACAAACTCTGATATTATAATCCCTATATCTTTGCATCTTGATGTTGTAGACCTCTGATATTTCAAACTATAAATTCTGTTAGATTAAATAGTCTGAGTTTGAAATATTAAAGGTCTACACCGTCAAGTTGCAAAGTTAGAGGGATTGGAAAATTTGAGCTTGTGGCAAAAACTCAGCTTCTTTGAAAATTTACGTTTGTGGCAAAACTGTCATAAAGGGTGTTTATTTCCTCCAAAAAATATCAAAGAATAATTATAATCCTTTTAACGCCGTTTATACATAGTTTAGTCTCTTTGCTTCAGCATTAAAACTTTAATTACAGTGATTTTCACAAAATCATTGAATGAAAATAATAAAATGTTTTCCTTGTGATTTGATTTTTTTATTAAAAACTTTATTGTTATTTATAATTTGTTATTTTTTGTAAGAAACTTTATTTCTTGTTTCGAAGGTGATTAGCAATCAGGAGAACGCTTTTTACATTTACAACAAAGATCTGATTGGATCTGATCTGCTCTAGCTGAAAAGGAACTGAGTTCTTGCCACACACTCGGTTTTCTAATCTCTATATATATTTGCACCTATAAATTTTGTTATCAAAGGTTGTAAAATTATTAGGATTAGAAAATTTGAGTGTCTGGCAAAAACTGAAATTCTTTATCCTTTATAGAGAACTTCTAAAAGTACCTCATTCTTTTGCGAAACCTGTTGTTTATTATAGATTACCTTAAACATTTTTTTAGAAAATTTTCTTCAATCTTCATAGAGTCTTTTCTCAGTTTATTAACCGAGGTGAGAAGTTCCTGATATTCCTGAACAGAAGTTGAGGATTTTCGCTTATGCTGTTAAAAAATTGCGAAAGCGAAAAGAGTCAAATTATCGACAAATCTTAAAAAAGAAAAAAAATTGATTAAGTAAAAAAAATATTCGCATAGAAAAAAATTTGTAGCGCAAAAACGACACGAAAAAAGTGGCATAAAGCTAAAATTACGTATGAAAAAAATGTTGTAGCGCCGTATATTCATACAGTAATCATCCCAAAATTTTAATCCTTGCAAGTTTCCTACTTATATAAAAATGGATGGCTTTATTATAGAATGAATAGACCAAAACTTGCTTAGAAATGTAATTTCAAGTTTTCTATACAACTTCAGAAAAAGAGCCGAGAAAAATGATGAAAAAGATGAAAAAGATATTGTGTTTCTTTTTGTTCTTTTTGATCCCCGTAAAAGTTTATTTAATATTTATGTAGATCTAAACACAATTTTACCCAGATGTGTCGAAAGATATCCCTCCCTCCCTCCTCAAATAATTTTCTAAATGAAAATATTTTGAAAAATATATTCTCCGGCGTGTGATGCATGAAAGATTAAAGTACTTTATAAAATGTTGGGGTAGCTGGAATATTACTCAATTTCCTTTCATGAAAATAAATTTGTCGAAACTGCAAAAATTGTCAATAAAGATGTTAAAGTCACATCTAAAAATTCAGATTTAAATTTTGAAGGGATAATATTCGTAATTTCAAGTGAGCCTCCATTTAAAGAGTAAAATTCCTGATTCACCAAGGTACCCTTTAAAATAACTGTCTGAGAAAAAATAAGGATTATATAATATTAAAAGATGCAAATTCTGGCAATTTATTTCCTCGTCTTTGCTGAACAAATATACACGTCATGAAGTACCCGCGGTAAAAGTTATCAATTTTCAGATAGAAAAACAAAGATATCTCAATTTTGTTGTTTAAATAAAAGGTTAAAAGGTACCGCAGTGAATCGGATATGTGATGGAGGATCACATTAAACTGCCCAAACTTCGTATTTCTCTTATGTGTGTGTGGGGGGGGGGGGGTAAACAAGAATAAATTTGCCTAATATTTTTGGATCAAAACTCTTGATGTTGACAATTTGTCGTTTTAAAATATTCAGAATACTCAAATCTTAAAGACAGATAAGATTTAAAGTGTTTGTCTTTTTAACTAAATCATTATATAAAGGTAAGTTTTATTTGATTTAATTTGCTAATTAAATCATGAGAATTAAAAAAGAATTCAAACAAAGTTTAATAAAATATCAGATCACCTTTTCAATGTTATATTCGTCTCCTCTCAACCATTGCAGGGCCATCTTCCCTTCAACATTTCTTCCTTAAATAATATATTATATATCCTTTCTTTTACATTTCTTCATTAAATAATATATTATATATCCTTTCTTTTACATTTCTTCATTAAATAATATATTATACATCCTTTCTTTTACATTTCTTCATTAAATAATATATTATATATCCTTTCTTTTACATTTCTTCCTTAAATAATATATTATATATTCTTTCTTTTACATTTCTTCATTGAATAATATATTATATATCCTTTCTTTTAAATTTCTTCCTTAAATAATATATTATATATCCTTTCTTTTACATTTATTCATTAAATAATATATTATATATCCTTTCTTTTACATTTCTTCCTTAGATAATATATTATATATCCTTTCTTTTACATTTCTTCATTGAATAATATATTATATATCCCTTCTTTTACATTTCTTTCTTAAATAATATATTATATATCCTTTCTTTTACATTTCTTCATTAAATAATATATTATATATCCTTTCTTTTACATTTCTTCCTTAAATAATATATTATATATCCTTTCTTTTACATTTCTTCATTGAATAATATATTATATATCCTTTCTTTTACATTTCTTCATTGGAAAATATATTATATATCCTTCCTTTTACATTTCTTCCTTAAATACTATATTGTATATCCTTTCTTTTACATTTCTTCATTGGATAATATATCATATATCCTTTCTTCTACATTTCTTCCTTGAATAACATATTATATATCCTTTCTTTTACATTTCTTCATTGGATAATATATTATATATCCTTTTTTTTACATTTCTTCCTTGGATAATATATTATATATTCTTTCTTTTACATTTCTTCCTTGAATAATATAGTATTTATCCTTTCTTTTACATTTCTTCCTTGAATAATATAGTATATATTCTTTCTTTTACATTTCTTCCTTGAATAATATATTATAAATTCTTTCTTTTACATTTTTTCCTTGAATAATATAGTATATATCCTTTCTTTTACATTTCTTCCTTGAATAATATATTATATATTCTTTCTTTTACATTTCTTCATTGGATAATATATTATTTATCCTTTCTTTTACATTTCTTCATTGGATAATATATTATATATCCTTTCTTTTACATTTCTTCCTTGAATAATATAGTATATATCCTTTCTTTTACATTTCTTCATTGGATAATATTTTATATATCCTTTCTTCTACATTTCTTCCTTGAATAACATATTATATATCCTTTCTTTTACATTTCTTCATTGGATAATATAATATATATCCTTTCTTCTACATTTCTTCCTTGGATGATATATTATATATCCTTTATTTTACATTTCTTCATTGGATAATATATTAAATATCCTTCCTTCTACATTTCTTCCTCGGATAATATATCATATATCCTTCCTTAAACATTTCTTCATTGGATAATATATTATATATCATTCCTTCCACATTTCTTCATTGGATAATATATTATATATATCATTCCTTCCACATTTCTTCTTTGGAAAATATATTATATATCCTTCCTTCAACATTTGTTCCTTAGATAATATATTATATATCCTTCCAATTAATTTTCTTACTTCAACATTTTTTCCTTAGATAAGATATTATATATCATTCCTTCCACATTTCTTCATTGGATAATATATTATATATCCTTCCTTCAACATTTGTTCATTGGATAATATATTATATATCCTTTATTTTACATTTTTTCATTGGATAATATATTATATATCCTTCCTTCAACATTTGTTCCTTGAATAATATATTATATATCCTTTCTTTTACATTTTTTCATTGGATAATATATTATATATCCTTTCTTTTACATTTGTTCATTGGATAATATATTATATATCCTTCCTTTAACATTTGTTCCTTGGATAATATATTATATTTTTTCAGTCTGTCATTGAAGTTTTAATCATTTTTGTTGCAAACCCTGCAATGTATTGTTAGTTAGATACAATGAGAGTAGATTTTCTACTTCTTAATGATTAATTTCTAACTAAGTCTTATACGGAGAAAAGACTAAAAACATCAGAAAAGAAATCTCATTATCCTTCGGATTAAAAAAGTAAGAGGTTTGCTTCTTTATCCCCTCTTTACACTGAGTCTAAAGAGGTTTGCTTCTTTATCCCCTCTTTACACTGAGTCTAAAGAGGTTTGCTTCTTTTACCTCTCTTTACACTGAGTCTAAAGAGGTTTGCTTCTTTATCCTCTCTTTACACTGAGTCTAAAGAGGTTTGCTTCTTTATCCTCTCTTTACACTGAGTCTAAAGGCTGAGAATAAAGATATTTGAAGATTTAGCTAAAAGTAGTTTTACATGTTGTTAAGAGCAGTATTAGAATTATTTTATGATAATGTCCCAAACTTTGGTCGTTTAGACCATTGAATATCCACAGCAGGCTTACTGTGGGGCAAAAAGAATAAATTTGGCAGACAAGTTGGGGAAATTATACAAAATTATTTCAGGTGAGACTTAGTTTTGAGCCGGAATTAACAACACGATTTGGCGTCTTTATAACAGCTCATGTTTTTTAGTTTTGCATTCATTTATAATCAAAGACATATTTATTTTGTATTGATTATGTTAAAGCACATTTTTTTATTTATAATATTTATAGATGATAAGAAACGCGCTAAAACCTTGCTTATAGATTTACCAAAATGAAAGTAGTTGAATTAATATTGATTTTGCACACGTTCTTTCAAGGACATACTAGAGAAAGGATACTAAATTGAATTTTTTTGCACCACTGTACAAATTACAATGTACTTAAGGTTTCTAAAAATAATTAAATTTACTAATTTTTTTGTATTTTTAGGGATGGGCTGGTAAGGATTAGGTCGAATAAAAAGTGTAAAGGCCGAAGGGGGGGGGGGTTAATTTTTTTCAGGGGAGAGCTCAGCACCCATTATGACCTAAAAAAATCCCCTAAACCCACTGATTTAACTAAAGGGAGGGGAGGACTAAGACCCAATAGCTCCCCCCCCCTTAATTACGCCTCTGGGAAAATATTAGATTTCATAATTTATCCTGCCTGCCTTGCCAGCAGCGAATCAGTTTCTAGCTTTAGCCAAACTAATCCCTTTCTAAAACATTTCTTTAATTAAAGTAATCAAATATCATAGTCTAAAATAAAGGTCTTCCCTCATATATATGTTAGCTATAGCTGGGCAAACGGCTGGACCGAATTAGCTGACTTTTTTTGAGGGAACCCGGGGAGCAACATCGGCTACGAAAAATTCGACATTTTTGTTTTCAAAAATCAATTTCTTTTAATTAAAAAATAGTTCCCTGGGCAACGCCGGGCACTTCAGCTAGTAATAAATGAACTCTGTATGTTTTTATTCATATAGAATATTAAATTAAATGCATTCTGTTTACCAAACCTGGGATCAATTCTCTAGATTTTACAGGACAGGATTCTAGATTTTACAGAACAGGATTCTAGATTTTACAGGACAGGATTCTAGATTTTACAGAACAGGATTCTAGATTTTACAGGACAGGATTCTAGATTTTACAGGACAGGATTCTAGATTTTACAGGACAGGATTCTAGATTTTATCGGACAAGATTCTAGATTTTACATGACAGGATTTTAGATTTTACAGGACGGGATTTACGACAATTTTTATTTCTGGTCCATTCTGTAAAACTGTGACAAAATCTCTCTCTGGAAGCCAAAGTTTTCAGTCTTCCAGAGGGAGGGGGAGCCCCCGCGTACCCCCCCCCTGTATACGTTCCTGGTTGATATAGCTGTATCCCTATATAGTAGATGGATCGTGCTGAACACTATTAAAACTAGTTTCCTGCAGAAACAGTTTTTTTCCTTAATCTAAACTTAAAAGAGAAGAAATTATATTTCTTCTGTTATTTCTAAAGTTAAACTTCAAATAAAATTTTTGTTTTCAAACTTTATCCAATCAGATTTCTTATATTTGTCCTAACAAAAAGAACATAATGAGAACATAATTATCTTTGTCAAAATTCTAAAATAATGGAAAAATTTAGATCTGAAATTTTGAAAAGTTTGCATCTGCTACTGCTCTCTGAAGTCTCATCCATTGTCAATAATTAGTCTCAAAACTAAAGAGTTACCCACAAAGGATGAGACTTCAGAGACGATTATACGAAATTTATACTTTCTGTTTCTTTATATTCATGATTCCCTGCAACTGTAATATTGTGTCTTTATTCGCCATTTTGAGACTTTATCATAGCCAGTAGAATTAACTTAACCTTGAGATCGTCATATCCTTAAAGTTTCAAGTCGTCTTTACAGTATCATCCTTTGTGGGTAACCTTGTAGATTCAATGCAATGCAAGGATTCGAAATAAATCTCCGAAATTTGGTTTTAAAGTGTGATTCTTTATAACTTACATTCATTAATAAGTAGTTTTCATTTACCTTTTGTTAGAAGGAAGGAGGGCGACTCAGGGATAAAACAAAGTAGAACTGTACTCAGTAGAGGAGGGATACAGGATACACTGGATAGTGCTCTCCATCCTATCCACTATACAGAGATACTGAACTAGGATATAGGACGGTTTATCTTGAACTAGGATATAGGACGGGTTTATCTTGAACTAGGATAAAGGACGGGGTTATCTTGAACTAGGATATAGGACGGGGTTATCTTGAACTAGGATATAGGACGGGGTTATCTTGAACTAGGATATAGGACGGGGTTATCTTGAACTAGGATATAGGACGGGGTTATCTTGAACTAGGATATAGGAAGGGGTTATCTTGGACTAGGATATAGGACGGGGTTATCTTGAACTTGGATATAGGACGGGGTTATCTTGAACTAGGATATAGGATACGGTTATCTTGAACTAGGATATAGGACGGGTTTATCTTGGACTAGGATATAGGACGGGTTTATCTTGGACTAGGATAAAGGACGGGGTTATCATTAATCAAGTGCAGAGTAAAAAATACAAAATCCTGGTTACGAACCTTCCCCAGGAAGTATGTGAGAAATGTTCCAAACATATAAAAAGCACTGAGTCCAGCATTAAACGATGTTCTCCATAAAGGAGTACTGATTTCTATCACATAAACCTAGATGAGGAGATTTGAAAATTAGAAGATTTAAAGATTTAGAAGATTTGAAGATTAGAAGATTAGAAAATTAGAAAATTAGAAGATTACAAGATTAGAAGATTACAAGATTAGAATATTAGAAGATTAGAAGATTTGAAGATTATATGATTAGAAGATTAGAAGATTTGTAGATTAGAAGATTAGAAGATAAGAAGATAAGAAGATTAGAGGATTAGAATATTAGAAGATTAGAAGATTAGAAGATAAGAAGATAAGAAGATAAGAAGATGAGAAGATTAGAAGATTAGAAGATTAGAAGATTAGAAGATTAGAAGATTACCGCTGCAGGAGAAGATGATAGTCCTGAGGCTACACCACAAACTATTCTTCCAAAATAAAGCATCTTACCAAGAAACAAATATTAATAATAAATCTTTTTTTATTTTTGATTGTGTGTTCTCCCATTTTTAAACGTATTGTACATGTCTGATTGAATTTAGGAACATGAAAGAACAACCATTATTTTATGCAATTTGTGGATTTTCTATAAATGTTTTGATGTAAATGATTGGAAGATTCAAATTTTAAGGCCTGGGTACGATATAGAAAAAAATGATTGATATAAACTATGAAGAGTGTAGAGAAGGATATGATTGCTATAAACTATGAAGAGTGCAGAGAAGGATATGATTGATATAAACTATGAAGAGTGTAGAGAAGGATATGATTGATATAAACTATGAAGAGTGTAGAGAAGGGAAGGAACAAGTTTGTTTGTTCAAGCATACTTTATATTCAAAGGGTGAGGCGGCGAATAGGAAAGAAATTTGCTTTGAGGAATACAATATTTGGCGGAGGTCAATATTTGTGTAAATATTCATGAAATGTTGTAAAGTTTAAGGGATATAAATACAGTATATTATACTGTTAGACAGTGTATACTCCACATTATTAGTTTAGAAGGGTGTCAGTGAATTTTGCAAGCAGTTTGTCCGTTCTGTCTGGTAGTTTCTCCGTTTCTCTAGTAGTTTGCCCGTTTTGTCTGTTAGTTTGTCCGTTTTGTCTAGCAGTTTGTCCGTTTTGTCTGGTAGTTTGTCCGTTTTGTCTAACAGTTTGTCCATTTTGTCTAGCAGTTTGTCGTTGTGTCTGGTAGTATGAAAATGTTGTCTGGTAGTCTGTCCGTTTTCTCTTGTACTCTGTTCGTTCTGTCTGTTTTGTCTGTTAGTCTCTTCTTTTTTGTCTTTTAGTCTGACTGTTTTGCCTAGTACATTTTGTCGTAGGAAGTCTGTTAGACTTGGTAGTCTGCCCTTTTTTATCTGGTAGTCTGTCTTTTTTGTCTGGTAGTCTGCCTTTTTGTCTGGTGTCTGCCTTTTTTTGTCTGGTTTCTGCCTTTTTTGTCTAGTGTCTGCCTTTTTTGTCTGGTAGTCTGCCTTTTTGTCTGGCGTCTGCCTTTTTTGTCTGTTGTCTGACTTTTTTGTTTGGTAGTCTTCCCTTTTTTATCTGGTAGTCTGCCTTTTTTGTCAGGTATCTGCCCTTTATATTTTGATACTTTGCTCTTGTTGTCTTTTGTTTAGTTTAATTTAACCTGCTATTCCTAAACTAATTTACTCTCTGTGTTAAAGTGTTGTTTACTATTTACTGTTTACTATTTGTTATAATTCGCTGATTACTTTTTACTGTTTACAATTTGTTATAATCCGCTGTTAATCTGCTTTTTACTAATTACTGTTTACTCTTTGATTTAATCTGCTGTTTACTATTTACTGTTTACTATTTGTTTTAATTTTGCTGTTTACTATTTACTGTTTGTTTTAATCTGCTGTTTACTAATTACTGTTGAGTCACGGAAGTTCGTAGTAAGATTTTGACTCCACTGGAGACCACCGGAGGGAATTCATTTTCACTGGAGGGGTTTGAAAAAATGCTTTTTACAATTTAAAACTTTACGCAGGGTGATTTACATTCCACTGGAGGGATTCAGATGTCCTTCCTGGGGGGGTTATAATTCCACTGGAGGGATTCAGTTATCCTTCCAAGGGGTTTATAATTCCACTGGAGGGATTCAGATATCTTTCCTAGGGGGTTAAAATTTCACTGGAGGGATTCAGTTATCCTTCCTAGGGGTTTAAAATTCCACTGGAGGGATTCAGATTTCTTTCCTAGGGGTTTGTAATTCCACTGGAGGGATTCAGATATCCTTCCTGGGGGTTTATAATTCCACTGGAGGGATTCAGTTATCCTTCCTAGGGGTTTATAATTCCACTGGAGGGATTCAGATATCCTTCCAGGTGGTTTATAATTCCACTGGAGGGATTCAAATATCCTTCCAGGTGGTTTATAATTCCACTAGAGGGATTCAGATATACTTCGTGGGGGTTTATAACTCCACTGGAGGGATTTAAATATCTTTCCTATGTGTTTATAATTCCATTGTAGAGATCTGAAATTATAAACCCAATGGATGAATATCTAAATCACTCCAGTGGATTTTTAAACCCCTAGGAAGGATAACTGAATCCCTCCAGTGGAATTAAAAACCCCTAGGAAGGATAAGTGAATCCCTCCAGTGGAATTATAACCCCCAGGGAGGATATCTGAATCCCTCCAGTGGAATTATAAACCCCTTGGAAGGATAACTTCTGAATCCCTCCAGTGGAATTATAATCCCCTAGGAAAGATATCTGAATCCCTCCAGTGGAATTATAAACCCCTAGGAAGGATAACTCCAGTGGAATTATAATCCCCTAGGAAGATATCTGAATCCCTCCAGTGGAATTATAAACCCTTAGGAAGGATAACTGAATCCCTCCAGTGGAATTATAATCCCCTAGGAAAGATATCTGAATCCCTCCAGTGGAGTTATAACCCCCTAGGAAGGACATCTGAATCCATCCAGTGGAATGTTAATCACCATGCGTAAAGTTTTAAATTGGTAAAAAGCATTTTTTGAAACCCCTCCAGTGAAAATAAAATCCCTCCGGTGGTCTCCAGTAGAATCGAAATCTTACTACGGACTTCTTTGAGTCATTACTGTTTACTTTTTGTTTTAATCCGCTGTTTACTATTTACTGTTTACTGTTTGTTTTAATCTGTTGTTTACTATTTGTTTAAATCTGCTGATTACTCGACTATGACCCTCATTGTGTTACCTTATGTGTTATGTTAAAATCTTACAACAACCCTTATCGTGTATCTTCTTTAAACTCATAAGTCATACCAAATCATTTTAGAAATAAATCTATAAACAAATAAACTTAATTTACAATCCTTAAAGCATTAGTATAATGACTGCAGCGTTTTGAATTTTGAATTTTAAATATTTATATTTGCTTTCCTTGAGATCAGGTGAGAATGAAATGCACAGGTTACCCAGAATATACAGAGGACCTGAACATTACTAGATTTATAAACTCAGGGGAGTCAAGTTCAAGAATATACAGAGGACCTGAACATTACTAGATTTATTAACTCAGGGGAGTCAAGTTCAAGAATATACAGAGGACCTGAATATTACTAAATTTATTAACTCAGGGGATTCAAGTTCAAGAATATACAGAGGACCTGAACATCACTAGTATTATAAACTCAGGGGAGTCAAGTTCCAGAATATACAGAGGACCTGAACATTACTAGATTTATCAAATCAGGGGAGTCTAGTTCCAGAACATTTCAAGAATATACAGAGGACCTGAACATTACTAGATTTATCAACTCAGGGGAGTCTAGTTCCAGAATATACAGAGGACCTAAATATTACTAGATTTATTAACTCAGGGGAATCTTATTCCAGAAATTCATACTTGCAGAATATGAATCGGTATATGAGTAAATATAATGACCAAAAATGTAAAACATTTATCGGCAATTGGTTTCATTTGCTAAGTTGACTTTTAGATATTTTAAATAATCGTACCGGGTATTAAATTAAGGAAAAACATGTTTTTTACCTGGGATAATTTTTCTTTTGAAATAGTAAATGTCATTCCCTTCGTGAAATGCTTGGACGGAATAAAAAGTAAGCAAATTAATTCTTTAGAGTAAGCACATTATTCATAGTTCATATATATACATTTTCCTTAAAGTTTCAAGTTGCTACACACAATAAGTAGATGGCTAGAAATCAGAGGCTACTATATATATCAGTAGTTATCTATATATCAGTAGCTATCGATATATAAGTAGTTATCTAGAAATCAGTAGCTACTATATATCTGTAGTTATCTATATAACAGTATAACAATCTAGATATCAGTAGCTATCTGATATTAGTATCTATCTAGATATCAGTAGCTATCTAGATATTAGTATCTATCTAGATATTAGTATCTATCTAGATATTAGTAGCTATCTAGATATTAGTAGCTATCTAGATATCAGTAGCTTTCTTGATATTAGTATCTAAATATCTAGATAAAGGTAGCTATCTAGATATTAGTATCTATCTAGATATTAGTAGCCATCTAGATATCAGTAGCTATCTTGATAATAGTATCTATAGAAATATTAGTAGCTATCTGATATTAGTATCTATATGAATATTAGTATCTATTTAGATATTAGTATCTATCTAGATATCAGTATCTATCAAGATATCAGTATCTATCTAAATATCAGTAGCTATCTGATATTAGTATCTAGATGTTAGTATCTATTAGATATTAGTATCTATCTAGATATCAGTATCTATCTAGATATTAGTAGCTAGATAATGATATATAGCTAGCTTTTTATTAGTATTTAGATAGAGAAAAACACCTAGCTTTATATAAGTAACTAGCTAGATTACAATAGCTAGCTAGTTAGATATCAGTAACTAGTTAGATAATAGTAACTAGCTAGATATTAGGCACTAGCTAGATATTAGGAACTAGCTAGATATTAGTAACTAGCTAGATATTAGGAACTAGCTAGATATTAGTAACTAGCTAGATATTAGGAACTAGGTAGATATTAGGAACTAGCTAGATATTAGGAACTATAGCTAGATATTAGTAACTAGCTAGATATTAGGAACTAGCTAGATATTAGTAACTAGCTAGATATTAGGAACTAGCTAGATATTAGGAACTAGCTAGATATTAGGAACTAGCTAGATATTAGGAACTAGCTAGATTTTAGGAACTAGCTAGATATTAGTAACTAGGTAGATATTAGGAACTAGTTATATATCAGGAACTAGCTAGATATCAGTAACTAGCTATATATCAGTAACTAGCTAGATATCAGGAACTAGCTATATATCAGTAACTAGCTAGATATTAGGAACTAGCTAGATATTAGTAACTAGCTAGATATCAGTAACTAGCTATATATCAGTAACTAGCTAGATATCAGGAACTAGCTATATATCAGTAACTAGCTATATATTAGGAACTAGCTAGATATTAGGAATTAGCTAGATATTAGTAACTAGGTAGATATTAGGAACTAGTTATATATTAGGAACTAGCTAGATATTGGGAACTAGCTAGATTTTAGGAACTAGCTAGATATTAGTAACTAGGTAGATATTAGGAACTAGTTATATATTAGGAACTAGCTAGATATTAGTAACTAGCTAGATATTAGGAACTAGTTATATATTAGAAACTAGCTAGATATTAGTAAATAGCTAGATAATATCAATTAAATATAAAGAGAAACCATTAAAAAAATAAACAAAGTCTCCAACTTGAAATGTTGAGACCAAATATAACATTATTATTATTTAGACAATGTGAAATCTAGAAAAGTAAACATTACAACAACAACTGTTGGTTCAGCAAACATATATTATGAAAATTAATAATAGAAAAATATATTTAGTTACCTATCAATCTGCAACTCATTCGCCTGCAACAGTTTCATTCTTCAAATACTTATCTTTAAAGCTCAATAAAAAATTTCAAGCATTAACAAAAAATTGTTTGTTGGATATAGTACAGTATACAATACATACAGCCGATAAAGGGNTGGATTGATCAAAATATTGATGTAAATTATGAATATTGTTGTTCCTGCCCAACCATTCTCCGAGTACTCCACCAACCAGGCAGGTTGGGATCGTAGCAAAGGTCTGAAGACTCGCTAAAAATTAAATATATTAATTGAAGTGCTTCGCACATTTATAGTAATCGACATCTTTTCCAGAAATATCTTGGAGCATTTTGAAAAAAAATTGGTCATCAACCTACCATAGGGTCATGGTTACCACAAAAATGTTGGGCTCAAAAAGTGTGTTTAATTCTGATTATCTTCATATTTTCCGAAGTAAGAAATGCACAGAGAAACCACAAAAAGATACAAATAGTTCACAAAAACATTGATATCCCCTTCAATCATGATCAGACAAAGCTTTCATGGGTACCCTTGTGTATCAGACATGCCATCATATCGGCTCAGTTTCATTTGCCATAATATTTTTGCCATAAATATTTTTGCCATAATTACATTTGCCATAATACATTTGCCATAAGTAACACTTGCCATAAGTCACACTTGCCATAAGTTACACTTTCCAAATTGGTTACACTTGCCATAATTACACTTGCTATAATTACTCTTGCCATAATTCAAATCAAATTTGGTTTGAATTAATTTATGAGCTATCAGGTTTAGGTACTCTTCTATGGGAAGAGTATTATACTGTAGGACAATGTTAGCAATCCTCTCATAGTGACTCTTCACCAAGCTCTTTCATTCAGCTCTAGAAAATATGGAACTGAATCTGTTTTCAAACAATGAGAAAACTAAAATTGCGAATTTTCATTGGAAAATTTCCCGCATTTGCAATAAAAAAGACAGATTTACGTATTTTTAAAAATTAGAAAATTATGACAAAAGTAATTATATCAAGTGTAATTATGGCAAGTGCAACCATTATGGCAAGTGTAACTCATGGCAAGTGTGACTTATGTCAAATGTAACTTATGGCAAGTGTTACTTATGGCAAAAGTATTATGTCAAGTGTAATTATGGCAAAAAAATTATGGCAAATGAAACTGAGCCCATCATATCAATGTAGGGTCACTTGAAATTACATTTTAAAACATTTAAGAGATAAAAATATTTAATGTTTATTATTTATTATTTAATAAAAAGTTCCTTCGGTTTTTTTCAAGTGTGTCACTAAAGGTTTTAAATTTTGTAAAAAAATTTAAATTCTTGAAAATCCGTCTCATACCGAATAACTTAGCGCCCATACAAATTCAGAAAATTAAAACATACGACTTAGACTGAAAAAATTCTATTTAATTTCAAACAAATCATTCAGATATTGCAACCTATAGTCATCGATTATCTTTCGCCACATTTGTATATAGTTTATATTTATAATATTTTATTTTTTTAGAAAACGTTTTAACGGATTTCGAAAAATGTCATTGGTCCGCGGCATTCTTAGATAGTTGCGCAAGCAACAAGAGAAATAATCAAATTCAAAACAAATTAACTAAAAAGTATTATAAAATATAAACTATATACAAATGTGGCGAAAGATAATCGATGGCTATAGGTTGTAATATCTGAATGATCTGTTTGAAATTAAATTGATTTTTTACGGTCTAAGTTGAATGTCGCAATTTTCTGAATTTGTATGGGCGCTGAGTTATTAGGTATAAGACGTCTTTAACAATTTTCTCCTTATAGACGCAACAGAAAGAAGTAAGATTAGTAGCGATCAAAAGCGCTTTTTTATCGCATTAAGCTTATACCCCTTTAATTTTTCGCGAACACTCCCTTTAAGTTTCCTAGTCTGAAGTTAAACCAGCGGAAAATAAGAAACAAAGCCTGGTTTAACAGCTTCAGTTTGTAAACTAATTCACCGTAAGTCTGCAGAGATTAAAATAACATGAACTCAAGAGAGGATTTTAATTTTGTTCCATTAAACACGAATTTATAAACATTGTTCAGAAATTCAGGGTGTTCAAAAACTTGTTAGATATCCCGGGGGGGGGGGGGCATATTTACAATGATATGACAAGTAAGTTGTTGGTAGCTTTTGTAACTGGAAACAAAATCCAGGAAATCTCAATTTTCTAAAGCCCTAGGACAAATGTCACTGGAAATAAAGTCCTGAGTTTTAGATTTCTGGGACTTTTTTCCTAAAATAACATGGAAACTATAAAGTCTCACTTTAAGGAATATGAACACAGGAAGTCCTGACGAAAATATATCTGAAGAAAAAACCAAGATAAAAAGTCTAGGGAAAATGAGGTCAAGTCTTAAAAGGTTTAAAAAAAACTTTTCTTTTATTTATCTACATTTTGAATATAGTCAGAGGTATTTTTAATTTTAAGCCCCTTTTTTCCATGCATTCATACTATTAACCAGAAAAAACGTCTTTTAAAATAAAGTCGATCAAAATGGCAGGAATTTATTTCTAGAGACTTTTTATTTCAAGGACTTTTTTTAGATTTTTGTAGATATTAATCAAAGAATTAGATGATGAAAAGACTGATCATATGACATAATAATTCTAACCAAAAATGTATCTTTACAAAGTTGTCTTAATCCAAAAATCCCTGACCAAAATGAACAAAAGTAGTTTAACTAGGTATTTGGTGAGGTTAGTTTAATTCATTTCCTAAGGTGCAGTTTATAATAAATCCAAGTAACTGTACATAGCTTTCTTGCGATTCACTACACTGGAGATCAGAGCTGAAAACTTTAGAATGGTGGATATCAGGATTAATGCTTAATCCACTCTTTTTCTTAATCTCCAGATTAAATATGGCTTGTTTTCCTCATGAATTTAATCTCCAGATAAGTCAACAGATCGGGATTAAGGATATCCCATTCTAAAGTTTTCAGCTCAGGTTATATTAATGTTTACGAAATAAAGATTAAAATTCAAAGTTGTCGACTTAAGCAAACTATCTTTCTATCTTTTGCAAAATTCTTCTTTTGTAATCAGTTTAAAACTGCTATTTCTATTTTATATAAATGTTGAAGTGATTTTATTTTTTTATTTGAGTCTGACATTCAATGTTTGTTATTGACAATAATACAGACATCTTTACGGACAATCACATTTTATTCCCTTCCGGGGAAATAGTTTTAGAGTTGATACTGTTCCATGGATATAGGAATTTTCTTTTCAACATTTTCATCATAGGTCATGGTTCAAAGGAACTGTGTTTTGCCACCCACTCAAATTTTCTAATTTTTATATCTCTGCAACCTTATGGTGTAATAGTTTGAAATTATGATAAATTTCAGAACGGTTTTATCAAGGAACAGGAATAACCAAATAATGTTTGAGTTTGCCAGTCATAATTTAAAAATGATTTTAAAATTCTCCATTAACAAAATATCGGAAAATTACAAAGGAGTTGGTCACTCAGCACCAAAGGGGTATATCTTCCTTACAGATCATTATTTTTACATCTAGTTTTTTCTAAAGTAAGTCCAGTATATTCCTGAATGGTGTTCTGGCCAGGATGTACCTTGAAAAGTGCAGGGGCGCAAACTGTTGAAAAAAAGGGGGGTCGATAGGGTGCTATTTTCGGAAATAATGATTCAAATAAAA